ATAATTAGAATTTTCAATGTTTTTTTGATGAACAGAAATTATCTCAAGAGATCAACTATAATCTATTAGTTTTAATCTAAATAATCTGATTCTAAAGATATTCTATATGACTTATTAAAAACGCAAACTAATAACTACAGTTACAATATTTAATCGACGTTAAAATTAAGTATTCCTTAACTTTTAACTCGTGCATATAGTCTATATTTTATCTCAGTATTATATTACAAATGAAAAAAACGTACATATTTAAGGATATTCTTATATAATATTGAATCAACAATTTCATAAATTTCTAAAAAAAATTAAATAATTTGCATGAACGAAATAGTTTTGTTGAAAATAACATGACTTCGAAATTTCCACAAGTTTTGAAAATATATCGCGCAAATCATTTAGCCAGATGTTACACACACACTGACATCGATTCAATGAATGAACGGCCGTTCATACACGAATATTGAGTAGTAAACTGTTAGAGGGTTGGGGAAGGAAGGGGAGGAGAGAGGGGGGGAGGGAGAGAGACGGACGAATGCGAGATATGCGTAACTAGGGAGATAAAAAAGGAGAGAGAATTGACAAAAGACGAAATAAGAGCAAGAAATGAAAGAACATAATACGATAAACCGAATTTCGAGATGTCCAGAGAAAGAAAAAAGATTGGTTGAGAAATTTGTTGATGTTAATTTATTATTCTATAATCTACGAACAAAATTTACGAAAAAAATATGAAATAAAAAAGAAAGAGAAAGAGGAAAAAATGAGACAATTCAAAATGAGGAAGAGGGGACGATAAAAACATTAACCAGGTAATAGTATGTCCATTAGAATAAAATAGCGCATATTCGATGTCGGGGGGGGATACAAGGATAAAGAATTGATAATGATACAGAAACGCTTGCATTTCACATAGAATGGAATGGTCTCGAAAAGAACATGTTGTAGTATGGTGGATAAAAATTGCTCTTCGTGCATACTCACTCGTCCGACGTCTCTGTCATGATTCGAAGTATCGAAGCCTTCACTCAAAGCCCACTCTCTCCCACACTTCACCATTTTCATCACGTCGAAAAGACATTCGATCGCGCGATTCTGTCTGCTTTTTTAGACGAGTATCAACACCGACACAGCGCCCCAGCTTCCTCCCTTCCTTCCGCCCACTCCACCGCCTCATCCACCACCTCTTCCGCTACCTCCTCCACCTTTTACTTTGCACTCCCCGTGCAATTCATCCCCACACACTCACTTGTTTTCAATGCCACATTTTATCAAAATTAGGTACACTCTACGACTCTATCCAACTCTATACCACGCCTGCCCCCTTAAATCCTAACCATTTCAATAGTTTTGCCTCAATCTCATCGATCTCGTATGACCGAAGAGATCTTCTTCGCTTGAAAACTGCGACTTTCCAAAGACACTATTGCCACAAAACGTTTCAGTGCATCTCACCATGCAAGAAATGTGTTCACAGCTAAACTCCGATCACTATTGTACGATACGATTAAATCTGACCGATCATGCTTCGAACGCGACTGAAACTGCGACAGCGACGACAGCGTATTCGCGAATCGCGAATACTTTATGCAAAATATGCTCGTTCGACAGAACCGACGATAATGTTCATGGAAGGAATACTTATTGACTACTGTAAGATAAAGTCGCCGGACTGCGCAACAGGATTCATTCATCAATATCACATATGCACGCACGTACGCACGCGCGCACGTCTGCATGCACGCACGGTCGCACGCATGCACGCGCGCGCGTACACACCATTCTACATTCTATATAATCGAGCGCGATACGTGACATCATCTAGCTGATCTAGCTATGTATGTAAAGCCAGAATAACACGATTTCTTGAATGATAAAGGATCATTTATAATGGCCGCAGAGAGAAACCTGAGAGACGACGCGGCAACCTTCTTGTAAGGGTGCAAACAATAAAAGGAATAAGGAATAACGATTTCAGAAATCACGGATACATCGGAACACACACTTTCCGATAGGTTGAAATCGAAAGAAAATTAAGGCTTAAACACAATAGGCACAGGCAGGCACAGGCAACAGGGAATAACGAGCCGTCCAATTAGAGCTCTGGTGTCTAAGTTCGTTATTATATCCCAGAGCTCTGATTGGACGGCTCGTTATTTCCTGTTGCCTGTGCCTATTGGGTGTATTCGTTTACGCAGAGATTACCGCAGAGAGTATCATTTAATCCTTGTTTAACACTCGGTGAACAACAAGGATAAAATAATACTTCTGCGCTAACCATTGCGTAAACGAATACAGGGATTGCCTGAGTCTATTGTGTTTAAGTCTTTATTCCTTATTCCTAAAGCGGGGTCTACAATAGAAGTCGTAGCAATCATAGAGTCTTAAGTCGTAGAAAATTAACCAATCACAGTAGAATATGAGAAGAATAATCGACTATGATTGGTCAATTTTCTACGACTTAAAACTCTACGACTGCTACGACTTTTATTGTAGACCCCGTATTAATGTCCACGATGCTAGAACTCGGTCCGAATTCTCGGATCGAGAAATGTGTAGTCAATCAACTTGCCAATCACTTTTCCGTAAAAACTGTATGCTGATTGGCTACACATTTCTCGGACTGAGTTCTGGCATCGTAGACATTAGTCCGGATCTACAATAAGGTTTTAAGCCTTAAGCTATAAGAAATGGGCGAATCACAGTCGCTTATTCTTCTCGGATTCGACTGTAATTGGTCAGTTTCTTACGGCATAAGGCATAAAACACCTATTGTAGATCCGGACTTAGGCCTAAGGGCCGGTTTATAATAAGCCGTAACCTTGAATCAACCAGAGTTCTTTATTACATGGAAGGGAAGGAAACGGAGAACTTCGATTGGTACATTTTCTTATGCATTACGTGCTATACGTTAAGGCCCGTCTACAATACACGGAGTAAGAAGTAAGAGTAAGAAATTGACCAATCACAGTCGATTATTCTTCTCACATTCGACTGTGATTGGTCAACTTCTTACTCTTACTTCTTACTCCGTGTATTGTAGACGGGCCTTTAGTCCGGATCTACAATAGGTGATTTAAGCCTTAAGCTGTAAGAAATTGACTAATTACAGTCGAGTGCGAGCAATCATGCTGGATTCACCCTGCATCCGATGTTCATCTACAACGTTCTGCAACCAATAAGAAAACAGGATTCCGATGGATTTTGCTTCGTATCATCGGAATTCTGTTTTCTGATTGGTTGAAGAGTGTCGTACGACGCAAATCGGACGCAATGTGAATCCAGCATTACCTTGTTAGTTTCTGTACCGCGCTACATGTAATCGCACCCTAATGCAGAATGGGTTTTATAACTTCGGCGTAAATCGATCCATGTAAACGTAGTCTATATCACGTTATATTAGTGGCCCGTGTGATGCTTGTATGTGCCAATATGGCTACCATTTGTTAGTAACGTATTTCTTCGATTTGATACGTATTTTATAAAAAAAAGCTACGTTTGGTGCCTTTTCGTAGCGGCATTCATATGCCGCATATTCCCGTGATTTGTGCCTAAAACTGTTATCCTGAAACGTACCGCGCTCGAACGTCCTGCAGTGGGGATGCTGTGTGCTAGGAGCGGAAGAGTCGCCCGTCACCAGCCATGTTCATCAAGTGTCTTTTTGTTGTGACATTCTCGTGATATAATATTCTCATGCAACGTTGTGCCTCGCCGAAGCAATCTTGTGCGCGTATCGACACATCTTGGTTTTTTCACAAACGATTTCACGTATTCTCTCGTGTCGTTTCGTCGTGTGTGTGTGTTCCGCTCCGTTCTATTCCTTTTTGTCCCGTTCTGTACCGTCTCGACTCTCGACTCGCCTTGTCTCGTCTTATCTTGTTTTATCCCGTCTCGTTTCATCCTTCAGGAACTTCCCATTTGCCTTTGCTTGCTGCTATCAAGTAAAGATTAAATGAAAGGTAAATTGTATTCACGTTTATTTTGTTATTGAACTCTATTGCTTACATATATATATTTAATGGATGATCTGGGATGATCAATAAGTCCGTTCGCGTTGTTCAAAATACCGCAAAATTTTTGCACTTAAAAGGAGATAAATATATATTAGGACGTTGGAACAAAAGAAAGTGAAGATGTTGAATGCACAAAGTGCAAGCAACATGAACAGATCTATTGGGTTATCTCGTTGACCTTGCTTATCCATTACAAACTCTTAACTTGTCATTTCTAGAAATCTAGATTTGCATTATTTTTTGCTTTTGATTTATCATTTTCATTTATCGAATTAAACATTGTTTTTTTTATTCTTAAGGCCTCTTCTACAATGTGTATTTTGTTTCTTGTTTTTGCTATTTTTCAGGCTAATGGCTGTTCTACAATGTGCTTTTTATTTCCTGTTTCTTGCTGTTTGTCTCTTGCCTTCTTGATCAAAAAGGCAAGAGATAAATGGCTGTTCTACAATGTTCTTTTTGTTTCCTGTTTCTTGCTGTTTGTCTCTTGCCTTCTCGATCAAAAACGCAAGAGACAAACAGACAATCAGCAAGAAACAGGAAACAAAAAGTACATTGTAGAATTAGCCTTACATCCTGTCTTTTTGCCTCTTATCCCACTTTTCGTTTTTTATCATCCGAGGTAAAAGTTAACGAACTTCGGAAGAAACAAGAAATACATGGCAAGAAATATTATTGTCAATAAAACGGGTCGCAAAGAGAGAACAAAGTAAGAGGTAAAGAGCAAGAAACGTGAAACAAAGAGCACATTGTAGAGTAGGCTTAATGAAAATATTTATTACATTTTTCTAAGTATTTTTAAGGCATTTCTAGGTACTTATTTTATTCAATACATAAACCTATTTTACAGTATCTCTTCATAATCTAGATTAGTTTTTGTTGACTATCTTTCAGAAACTTTTTTACCTCTCTGAAGCTGGTCTTATTTTTTCAAAATTTGGAAAGAAGAGTTCTAAGTGTTTTTTTATCAAGTTTAGAAAGAATTCCGTTGATTAAAGCGGTGAAAACACTATTTGAGCTATCGGGGGGAGAGGAGGGACGGCAACTTCACGATTCTAAAACATTGAAGTGCTATAACTTTTTTACTTTAGCGTCTCTATACATATAGAACAATCGATAAAATTCTTTGGAAGGGGTTACCAAAACTTTAAAAAAAAATACCGGATTTCTGAAGACTCCAAATTTTTTTTTAATTTTCGGCATTTTTTATTAGATTCTCTAAACGTTTTATCGACAATTGTTAACTATTTTTAACTAGCGACAGCCAATGAGTGCCGCGCTTTCTTCCAGGATTATCCTACACGGGAAAAATTTTCTTTTAAAATTTATCCTAAAAATGTATTGTAGTAGTTGTGGTACAATACAATATTTTAAAGGTTTTTACCATGCACTTCAGAGTAAAATTGATCTAACTTATTTTATACTTTATTTTAATTTTATTAATGAATGAGAGAGATTTACACTAAAATTCTTCGAAATACAATGTTGTCCTACAACTGTCATATTGTCGAAGTAAATTCTTAGAAAAAAATTCTCTCCGTGTACCATTGGCTGTCGTAAGTTAATGATAGCGACAATCATCGATAAGATGTTTAGAGAATCCTGTTATTGAGCCCCTCAAAGAATTCCAACGATTATCCTTAAGGGAGTATTCTACTTTGTCGGGTCAAAAAAATAAATTTTTTTAATTGCATTTTCGGAAAGTTGATAGTCTTGAAAATATATTACCAAAGCCGTTCACAGAAATAATGTACTATAACTGAGTTACTCATCGTTTACTAAAATGGTTCGCAGGCCCAGTCAAATGATAATGGAATCAACATCCAATACAATATTTTTCAACCGCGTTGACATAATATTTCAGGAACTATGCGTCCGATCATTTAGTATATGTATGTTCTTTTATTATTTGAACTACGGAATTTAATTTACGATTATTCTGTTTTATTATATATAATATAAAAAAAAAACGAAACAAATTTATAGGTGAAAATCAATACCATTTTTCAAAACATTACCATTTCATTAAACGTTTCAACAATTTTCAATTTTTTTCTTATATTCTAGTTCCAGTAATAGTGTAACTCTTACAATTTAATAACTTCTTTGGTTTGAGGCTACTAAAACCAACGGAATGACGTCAACGCGTCAAAAAGAAATTTTTTCATATGTCTTGCGTATCACCGTGTATTTTTTTTGTATAATACATATGGACACGAAAAAATAATTTTTAAATATCTATTTTGTACAAATAAAATTCCAAAAAGTTTCATATTAATATATTAATTCATTTCTTTTAAAAAAATTCCTGAATAATCATGTGTAATTTTTATCATTATATGTGTATTTTTATTATTATTAATCATTCAATTATTTCCTAGATTTCTATTGTGTTTTCTAGGGAAACGGAATAGATTCCGATCGGAATTATTCCGTTTTCCCTAGAAAACACAATAGAAATCTAGGGAATAATTGAATATTTCCGATCGGAATCGATTGCGACTTGTTCTATGGTACCCTGGTTCTGAACCGATGTGAACTTGGCACCCAACTTTATCAAAAATAAAAATTAATACTGTAGCGCGTTTGTACTTCGTTTGTACCCGTTTGTACCTCCCTTATTTTCGTCTGTACCTCAAAGGGTTCGAAGATACAGCGATTTCAAAATTTCGGAAATGCGCCAAGAGGGGAATTCGAACATTTTTAAAGATACCGAAATGGGCCCAACAGCATTCGAA